TGTCTGCTAGATCACAACATCAGCGACTGCACATCTTAGAAGAATTGAGTCTTCTAGCGCCTGTATCCTGGCTCCTCTGCATTCTAAAAGCTCATACACCGCTCTATAATTATGCCCACTATGCCAGCCCCTTGTCTTCTCTACGGTCAGTAGCGAGGCACTTTCCCCTACATAAGAGACTCAAGTGATATGTAATTAGAAAGAATAGCGAGATATAAACTTGGTTTTTCTCTTTTACTGTGTGGGTGCGAGAAGATACAAACAAGGTGCGTAAAACGTGGGATTATCAGAAGAAGGGGAAACTATTTACTGCTCAGTGTTTTCCCAAATCGTCCCTATCATCATTCCAAGAAAAGTTGATCTAATAAGCTTAAAATATTCGTGCTGTGAATATGTCCTTCCCATCTTCTCAAGCATTGTAATGTCTGTCTAGCGTATGCTGCAACAACGGCAAGCGGCAAATTTTTTCACCCACCTTGTATATCGCGAGCTTAGAGATGAGATTTGCGTGCGTAAAAACACCTTTGAAGATTTGGTACTGCATCATTGTAGTAGGATAATTTGCCTGGATTTCACATAATAACTAGCTGAGTGCAGGCGTCGTAAAAGCGGTCAACAAGAGACTTGACCATGGTTATTGCGAGGCCAAAAACTATGCAGCTAACTTCCTTGGAGCGGGCCGTAGTTAAATACAGCAAGATATCGAAAGTAGAACATGGATTATACAGAAACTTGCACTGTTTTTATTTGATCCAGGTTTCGAACGATAACAAAGATCATAAATAGACATTGAACGCGTGACTGTTTTTGTAAATAAATTACATCTTACAGTTCCTAAAATTAAAAGCGCTAAGATGCTTTGCTCATTGAAGATACCACTCACATATTTTGATTGATGCTCAGGATTGTTTCTCCACTTAGCCTTGCAATGGCTGTTGAAGTAAGAGGGCTTTGCGCCTGGTCTTGTAGTTAGTTCATGTCTAGCCAGCCGCAAAAGAAGCATGATAAATGCAATCATTCTTAAGATTTAATATTCCACTATTTGAACATTCAGTGTAATCACTCACATTAAGCTGAAAGATGGTCGGATGTTTATGTCTTAAAAACTTTGATCAGCAACGCAGATTCATCGTTCAATCTGACCTTGGAAATATAGCAATTTCTTTCCGTGCAGTCTCAAACAGTTTGCAAATTCACCTGCATAGTAAACGTTAATAGGAGAATCAATGAACCTAGAAAATTTATAGCAATACTGTGGTGTACAAAGTAGATAGTGCTCATCAAAATGATTTTCGGAAGTTTTTGATTGTTGTGGCAAGCCTTCAACGGCCATCGCAGCTTTAGTAACGAAAAGAAATTTCTTTACTTCAATTACATACAGCTAAATAGAAATGCAAGTGATGACCATGGCAGAATGCCGGACTGCATGAGTAAGCAACATACGCATAATCAAAATTATATGACAAAATCTGCAGCTCAGATGTTCGCAGCAAG